TTTTATTGCAGAGTATGCATGTCCAATATGGGAACAATCAATCAGTTCATGACCCAGCTGTCATGAAACAACAGGGGCTGCTTACAGATGTGGAAAAAATAAAACAACCCAGTGATTTATTTTCAGCTCAGTGTGCACCTGCGCTAAATGCAGTGCCTGTGCAGAAGAGGCATCACATTAGTTTGACCCAGCTTGCTCAGTTTCTGCATAGATTGGGCTCTTCAGCAGGGCTTTTTGGCGCTTTTAGCTAATAGCTGATTGAATCCTGCTGAAGCACCCAATCTATACAGATGCTGGGGAGTCAGGTTGGATGCGCTTCCTCTTCTGTAAAGTATTGGGTTTTTGGGGGGGGGGGTTCTACATCTGTCAGCGGCCAGGATGTCTAAAGCCAGTACCAAATGTAGCCTGTACTTCCTGGCTGGAAATGTACCACCTGATATCAGAAGAAAGGTAGCAAGCCAAAAAGAAAGGTCATGACAGATGGAAGACTCCAGGCATCCAGGTCTATCGTCACACAGAAGTAACCAAAAGGCTTGAAGTAAAAAAAAAAAAAAAGAGGTTTACAGCCAGCATTGCACCCTTGGACACAATGGCAGATGGGGCACAATTGAGGTTATGCAAGGAAGGATTACATACAATCAGATGCCCTGAAATGGTCAGGGAACCCCAGGAGGACCCTCCAAGAGGGGCTGATACAGACTGGCCAACATAGTGATGCCTGAACAGCCTGTGCACATCAACCAGAGGATCAAAAAAACCAAACAAGATCAAATGAGACTACTCTAATAACACAAATAGATGCAAGTGCAGTAAAATACAGGCCATTGAGCACCTGCTTGTTTGCCAGTGTCTTGGTGAGATCTGTACAAAGGAGGACCTTGCTGTAGCAATGGAAAGAGCCATCACTTGTGCACAATTCTGCAAAAACATCTAGTTTATGACAAGGACACAAGAAGAAAAAGCAGCAAAAGAGGAGATATATGAATGTAACAGATCCCATTGGACTTAAGTCTGGTGTTTTCTAACACATTCCTCTTGCTTGGTATTTGTAAAGCAACAACGTGAAATTCAGGTCATGTTTCTACCATATTTCCATCTAGAGGCCTGCCTTCATAGGCATAATAAAAAGTTCTTCTAATAAGGCAATTTTGTCAAAACATCACCAAAAGATATTATAGAAAAGTCAATAGAAAATTAACTGAAATATTTCTTCAAAAGTGATGACACCGTATAAGATATTAGGTAACTATTTTAAAACAGAGAGACACTGCATGCAGGCACCTGATTCTTTATTCTGGTAACAATATGTACCTGTTTGACTCTTGTTTTAAGAACTCCCAGCCTTTTCTGTGTGGGTTCATAGAGGTAAGAACCCCATAAGTTTCAACTCAGCAGCTTAACAAAAGCAAGATATGCACCATAAGCAGGGGGCAGTTGGATCTAAATCTGTCCAAGTGTCCTTACATGCTACTTACATAGGTAACTTTAGCTCTTTAAGTGTATACTGGCTGTAAGCGCCACTTAGGTGACTAGCTTTAACTATTTACCCACCTGAAGGAGTTACATTTCAGCTTTGTAACTATGAACCTAAACATTGTAAGAGTGTTATTATTATTGATTACAGGAAATAAAACAGCAAAGTAAAAACTTAAACATTTGAAGTTGCAAAAAAGTAGAGTGAGAAAACTGTTTTTTTGGAAGCAGTCTGTGGGCATTTATACACATGCTTTAGGAGGCGTGGTAGGGCAAGCTAAATGAGCTTTAGTTCACAGCACCCCACCACCATTTTTCAGCTTGGGGAGGCTGATAAACATGATGCTGGAGGCTGCTGGAGTGCATCAATTTCCATACTCCAGCAGACTTGATGTCTACTCCAATGTGCTAGAATTACAGTGTCAGAGCAGGCTCCAGGCACATGTGTAGGAGCCCCAGTATGTCTTAGCTAGTCAGATATTCTCAGAATAGTTGTCTTTTAGTTGCTGGGTAAGGATGCAGTTGAGAGATTGCCCAATTTGGCCTTCACCACACTTGCAGTAATCATAAACATTTATTTGTTCTCCATAAATGTTATAGCATGTAAAATATTGAGTACCAATGAACTGTGGAGTACCAAATGAACTGATTTGTAGTGAAGACTTGTTCAACTTTTACAGTTGTCAGAATATTTGAAACTGCAGCCATCTTCCAGCTGATGGCTTTAAGAGTAATTACAGATATTGCTAATAAAATTTTGTAGATGTTGGCAAAATCTCAGCTCAAACTAATGGTCATGGGCTAACAGTGAATTTGAGATGTTGATTTGTCAGAGTTTTTAATACTGCTATGATATAGACACAAGAATGCCTATACTTTACTTCCTCACTATTACAGACATTGAAAGCACTCAGATTTGTATACGAAAACAATTGAATCCTGCATATGCAATATCCCTAATACAAAATAAGAAGAAAATTTGACAGCAGCAAGTCTCCTTTATAGTTAAGAGTAAACCTGTCCTATGTAGCTACTAATCACAGCTACTGTATTAGAGATTATCCTCTCTAGAGCTAAAAATGTGTTTTTCTACTTTCAAATTTAAGTTACATTTTATATACATTTCTGTTTACACCTATGGCAGAAGAGGGGGAGGAAAATGAGGCGAGAGGTCATCATCTTTATAAAAGAAGCATTAAAATATTGAAACATTCCAAAAGAAAAAGAGAGAAAAATGAGTAAGTCTACACTTGTGTATCTTCATTACTATTAGAGTCCAACATGTGCCAAGAAAAATAAGAACATGGTACCTGTCTTGAATAGTTTATGTTATATTACTTAGCCCCCCAAAATTATTCCTTGTTATAGAGCACTTGTGTGTTGGTAGAATCCTGCAGAAGGAAAGGTATTATTCCACCTAACCTTTTAGGTTAAGTACAGAGATTCAGCAGGCATTAGGGTGAGGTTAAATAGATTCAAAATGGCTGCCCTATATCAGGTAAGTCAGGATGCTGGGGCAGCTAGCCAGGGCTTGGGGGTCCAGCAGGCTGAAGGGGATTGAGGGTCTGCTGGATGATGGGGGGAGGTACAACCCGCAGGCAGGGGGGCAAGGGCAATCTGTCAGGGTGGGGCAGGCACAACCCATGGGTGGGTT